TTGAGAATGTGATGAAGACTTGCCAGCGAAAGAGGATTCAAAAGTCAATAACTTACACATAAGCATCACTTATGTTTTTTTTTTTGTTCTTTTACTAGTTACTGTACCAATGTTGATATCGAATTATTCATCAGCTTTGACTTCTTCTAGTTCAAGTTACTGCCGTGTATCTTCATGTACAGGATCACTTTATTACTATCAAGCTCTTGAATTTAATGTTTCAATGGATGGAAATTGTACCATTGTATCTAATAGTACCATGGACACATATGGCTATTTATACAGTAATACATTTTATCCTGCTTCTCCACTTACCAATGTCTTAGACATGAATGACGATGGTGGTGGCAATGGACAATTTATGTTGTCGAGATATTTTCAGATTCTAACACGATACATTTTGGTTGTAACAACATATGATCAAAGTGTAACAGGACCATTTTCAATCATTGCAACTGGTTTGGTATCGATTAGATTTTCTCAAATTGAAGGATCAAGTAAGAACTTCATGTATTTTAGAGGAAGTCTGTCATCAAACCAAAACAATCATCGTAAGATGAATCTATAGTTCTATGAAGATTACTAGATAGTTTATTGTTGAATAATTGATTTAAATCGAAACAAAAATGTTTGTCAACATATAATTTTGTCATTAAGAAATTCATAACTAATTATGAAGAATCATATTTTGAAAGAACCACGTTCTTTTCAATTCGCTAGTTGTTGAGAGTTAGTTACTGTTGATAATTAGTCTCAGAATGCCATCTGTTGATCGTTACTACCTTGAAAATAACATCTTAACTCTTTTTTATTTCTATCCAATGATCAATATATAGATACTTTTGCAAAAAAAAACATTTTTTTTTCATCTTACAAGTCTGACCTCCACAACGAATCAAAATATTCTTTGTATATCAAATCCCATAGTTCAAATTCTGTACATTATAAAAATTTTCTGTTCTTTCTTATTCAATAAATAACACCTCACATAGTAAATAAATCGATGAGGATAGTAATTGTTAGAAGAGCACAGAAAGCAATTCGAAACTTTGCTTATCTAGTTTTGTTTGTGTCTAAAGTATTAAGAAATAACATTGTGGTCGCTCTAGATTTCCCACAATTTCTATACTTTAAAATCCTAATACAATCTAAAAGGAGTGTTGATGTGTGCGGATGAAAATTTCAATTTCTGTATTCATCCCCAATGAACAGACAGCAGAAGTCAAATAATAGAATTAATTTGAAATACTTTTGATGAAACATTTTTGAGCAAAGTTTCTTTCATAGAAAGTAAATCTTTATTTTGTAGCGTGTTTAATGGGCTGTCACATGAGATAATCGTCAACTTCATTATACGTGATCCTATTGAGAAAATTGGAGGTCAAGCCATATGCTTTTATCGCATGGTAGTCTACAACGTCTCTGATTCTTCTCATAGAAGTGGCAACTATGTTAGGAATGACACCTCACAGACTATGACATCGATTTGAGTAATGTCGCCTTCTTCTTAATCACAGAGCTTGAAAACAAATGAGAAATACCTCTTTTCTGTCATAGATTGTGACTAGACATGTGCGGGACCAGTTTCGGTCCCGGTCCCGGTCCCAGTCCCGGTCCCGGTAGCCGGGACCGGGACCAAAAAATAGAATTTTACCGGGACCGCGACCGGGACCGGGACCAAAAAATAGAATTTTACTGGGACCGGGACCAGGATCGAAAAACAATTTAGTCCCGGTCATGTTTGTCGTTGATAAGAAACATCGGCGGAAATAGAAGTGAGAACTGCTCCAGATCTAAAACCGGCAGATTCTGCAACAACTTCTCTGACTATGGACAAATAACAGAAAAAGTAAGGTTACTTAGACTGGGTGTGGAACAAAAACCAAATTTAACACATTCGACGCGATTCGGTTTTATTAAAGAGTAGCTCTAGAGATTCATTTTCTTCTGCATTCATCTTGCGATAAATGCACTGCTTGGTCTTTTCATCTTATACTGATCTGTCGTTTTCTCTCTTCCATTTGTAATATCACATGTAGCGAAGTAACCATCCTGTAGTTTGGCGAAACTCCTGTGAGGTCATTTCAGCATGACATGCCATTCGAGAAGTTGAATCAGCAACCCAGTTCAAGCGCGAATTCACTAATCGCAAGCTCGAAGAAAAGGAAGGATTTAAGGGCAATGTCCGCAGACGCTGTACTGGCTGCTTTGCGAAAGGAAGGGCACAACAGTCAAGAGAAGCGAGCTATGCGGTAGCAAAGAAAGTAAAAACGTTCTGTTGTGAGTAACAATTTTTTTTGTCTTGATTTTTTTAACAAGACCCATCATGCTATGGAATAACGGACTCAAAAAGAGCTCTGAAGGCAGAACAGATAAAGCATTATGTTCAGCCTCCTGTCTAAGAACAAAGAAAAATAAAGTACTTTTCTATACAGTTTCTCGTTAAAATGTAGCGTGGCTCACTGTTAGGCCACATCGTAGCGAATGTGTTAACTGAGCCCAGGACTAAAAAACAGAATTTCGCCGGAATCAGCAGCAAAAGGAAAATTTCCACCGGGACCGGGACCGGGACCAAATGAAAATTTTCACCGGGACCCAAACCGAGACCAAAAAAAAATTTACCAGGACCGGGACCAGACCGGGACCAAAATTCAATTTCACCGGGACCAACGACCGGGACCGGGACCAAAAAAAGTTGGTCCCGCACATGTCTAATTGTGACAGCTATCTTGGTATACCTATTTTCTCTTCATGATACATGACAGCCATACCCAAGAGATGAATGTTTATCACAAGATTAGCATACATTAGTAGTAGGTATGTCTATGGAGATGACATATTTTATATTCTAGAGAACGAAAAAAAATTCATACTTTCTAAAAGCTTTACTAAGTTTGTCAGGTCATTGTTGTTGACAGTATGAGGTAATTTTTTATGCATTGAATAAGTTCACACATAGGACAACATAACCTAGAATTTGTAACGTTGTTCGATAGTTCATTCGATCTATGGAGATGTCTATTAGCAGAAATCAATGCCTAGTCTATTTTCTGCATAGTTTTAAAAAAATTTTATATGAATGGTTCTTGCGAATTCCAAAATATTCACATAGGGTGATGTTACGAAGCCAGACACAAGGTAATCTTTTTATTTTTCTTTGATTAGATTCTACTCCACCGACTACAACCTCGACACCGACTGTAATCTTGCAAACAGATGTAACCTCGCAAACAGATGTAACCTCGCAAACAGATGTAACCTCGCAATACTCATCAGCGTTGACTAGCTCTAGTCCTAGGTTTTGTCGTACTGGCAGCTGTTCATCATCAAACTACTATTATCAAGCTTTTCTTCTCAACGTCTCTACAGCTGGATCTTATTCTATTATGTCTAACAGTAGCATAGATACATATGGATATATTTACAATAATAGTTTCACTCCTTCTGATCCATCTACAAATATGATAACATACGATGATGATGGTGCTGGTGCTAGGCAGTTTCTTTTAACCATTCAAATTGATACTGTAGCAAGGTACATTCTGGTTGCAACGACATATTCGACTAATGTGCAAGGCTCATTTTTAATCATTGCAAATGGACCAGGATCTGTTAGTTTCATTCTTATATAGAAACCATGATCCTATAGTTTGAATCTTCAGTTCGCATTAATCAATTTTTCTTTCAATCGAAGTCAATATTCTGATTGTTCATCATTGATATAAACGCTATTTCCAAACTTTTTCCAAAGATTTTTTGCTCTGCTTTGCTAAAAGTGATCTTGTTTTTTTTGATCCTTCATCATCAGCTTTTGGTATGCATTGTTTCATACAGTTCGCTTTTCAATGTCACATTTTATTTGCTTTCTATTCTCAATAAATATTGAATAAAACGAAATGTTTTTTACAGTGTCATTTGTATTGTAATGTTTATAATAATCAGTTACTTTGATAGAACATTGATATGCAGAATTATTCTGATTATTTTGTGTAAATCGACAATCATGATACACAAGAACAGCAGAAAAGATGCATACGATGTGCAAGTATGTCAACTTAAGTGTTCTCAGTATTAATCTGCAGATTTCGACGTACATTATGAGCATAATGAAATGATGATACAATACTTGTTTCACTCATGTTCCTTCCTTGGGAAAGTCTGAAAGAATCTTTGAGGACCTTAAAATTGAAGTATTTTGCCATGTTTTCTATAGTATCCTATTCTAAATCCAAGTAGTTCCTGTTTACAGCATACCTCACTATGAGATAGAATCCTTTTTAGGATTTCTTCGAGTTCCCATTTAGGTTTTTCTATTAACTAGTAATGTAGCATTGTACCAGGATTTACTCTTGTTCCTGCTCAGGAAGTGAATAGAAATTAAAAAAAAACAAGAATGACGTCGAGATTGTATCAAGCCTTTATCAGGATCTGTTAAGAACTCTCTACACCAGAATTATCTGAAAAGTTACAGCTAAATCAGACGAGAATCCTACAAAGATTAGAACAAGATCAGTTAGAATCCTAAACTAGCATATTCTACCTCATCATAACGCATATGCTAGCCTCCAATCTCGGATTCCATCCAATCTGGGATCTATCTAGCTCAAACTGAGATCCTAACATTGTGTACTAGTCCAATGTCGGTTCGGGAAAGAAGTTTTCTTTAAAACCTTGACTAGTTTTTCGATATATATTGGATTCGAATTCTTGCTGGTGATCCCTATTGAGACAATCGTATTTTGAGTATTACAGTTATCAGTGAAGCAACTAACACGAGCATTTACTGATAAAAACTATATAATTAAGTTAGTGGCAATATACAGTATTAGAATACTTTTTCAATGTTCATTTTGAATCATAGAGTTTTTCTAATTATAAATAAAAAAATCGAAGAAATTCCTATAAGAAACATTTGCTAACAATACAAAGAATCTCAAATATTTAATATATCTATTCATTACAATATCTATTAAGATTCTCTCTTGTTTGCTTTTTCTAAATCATTCAGTTTGTTTTTCAATCGATTGTTCATAATTATAACTCGACGAGTTTGTTCGAAATGAATTTGAATATGTCTCATTAGGTACATTTATTGCCGATATACGTGGTAAATAACTAGACTGTTGTTCAGTATCAACATGTGCAAGTAATTTAAGTGTTTTAATAGCTGGTATTATTTGATCAACTTTTGATACTTCTGAAGAAAAAAAAACGAAAATCGATAAATTGATAAACAAAAACTTAAATTACCAAGTAAATCAGCTAATTCTTCAATAAATTGATGATAATGAGGCACATTATTATCATAAGAATGAATTTTTCTCATTGCTCTATATCAGAAATCAATTAAAACATGAATAAAATTTTTAAAAAAATTTTCATACTCATTCATTTCTTTTAATGTTGTTAATTTCTTAAATGTAAACATTTTATCTAATTTCGAATCTTCAATTATTTTTTCTAAAGTTTTAAATAATAATTTTTGATTTTTATTATTAATACCCAATGTACTTGAAACAGCATGAATAAAATTATTTAATTCTCCATGTTTATAATATAAATCAATAAGTGATGTTGACATATGTGTAAAACATTTTATGTCAAATAATGTTTGATATTGTTCAATAATATCTAGACAATATTGATAACTTGGTCTATGGTTAGAATCAATCTAATATTAATACATTAATAACGAAAAATAATTTCGAAATAGAAGAAAATCTTACTCGATTCGAACATTTACAAGTAAAATAATTCGTTTTATTCGAATTTATCTAAAGAAATTTATTTATAATATTGATATTTAAAAAATAAATTGATATACTTCAGATGATTTTTTTATTAAATAATTAAATGTTTGTTGTATATATGTTTTCATATCTTGATGAGACTGAATTGTTGTTATTCTTGATTTTGAAGAGTTTTTTGAATGTTGAAGACATAAATGAAATAATTCATAAATAAACTAAAATGAGAAAATAAGTTTGTATAGAAAACTTTTACAAGTCATTTTCTTGACATTTATTTTGATGTCGGAAAAAAAACAAGATTATGTTTTATTAACTATTTTCCTTCTTACTCGATGATCGGTAGAAAGACTATGATATTGTTTAGAATCAATTTGTTTTGGTTGTTGTTGTTGTTGTTCTATGATGTTCCTACGAAATACAAAAATTGAATAAAATTCAAAAAGAACAATTAATTTGAATAACATACAATTTTTCAAATCGCTTTTCCATTGTTTGAATTGTTTTTCGAAGATTATTAATGGTCTCTTGATATGCTTCAAATTTTTGTTTGTACATCTAAGAAAATAAGACATTATTTTCTTGTTTTAAAATAAAAGTTTTCATTTACTAATGCTTTCATTTTATATTTTTCTGATTTTTTAAACTCATTAAAATAAATTGAGCTATTGTAACCATCTATCATCTATAAGAAAAAATACATAGGAATTTTTAACTAAAATTTAGCTTACTTTATTGTTTTTCGTATAACTTGTCATGTTATATGCTTGATCAACACATTGTTCATTTATTTTTATAGTATGTTTTAATTGTTGATAAATATTATGAATTTCTTTTCTAAAGGCATCCATTTTAACATTACATAAACAAAGATATTCTCTTATTCGATACTTACTTAAGATCTTTATTAGATTGAAGTAATTCTTGAATAAGTGTCTTATCGTCTTCAGATATTGTTTCATCAAGAATTTTTATTTCATCTTCTATAACTGAAGAAGAACAAGAAGATGATGATGATGATAATCTTTTAATTGAAATTTCTTGATCATTTATAGTTTGAGGATAACCAAACGATATAGTACGCTTCAATAGTGGTGATGTTGCCATATTCTGATGATTACCTAAGAATTAAATCTCCTGATAAGACAAATAAAGTACACATGACAGATGAATATTGAAGAACAAAAAAAAATGGTTGTCATGTTACATACTCATAACTATTATGAAACTTTGAAGTAACACTCAACTGACTAGAACTACTTGCTTATTAAAGTATGCATATAAGAAAAAAAAATGTCATATGTACTATCTGGTCTATTATTTTAAACTTTATTCTTTCGGTAACATAGAAATAAAAAATGCACATTTACTCTACACAGCTGTCAATATTAGTCCTTGATTGAATGTAAAAACTCGATACTTATTTCTGCATAAGAATAATAATTTTTATTCGATTTCATTTCAATTAATAAAGATTAATATTTAATTTCTTATTTGATGTACAGTCAAAAAGAGATTTAATATAACGATTGAGAATTATGCTGTGTGTTGTAATCGTATTTTTCTTCTTGTAAATTTTTCTATTAATGATTTCCACTATCGCCTAGAGTAAAGAAAAGAAAGAATAATATCAGCTTCTTTTTTAATTAAAAATGATGAGAGAAATCGTAGTTTCATTTTTATTTCTTTTGATTTAAGTGAGCTATAGATACCTATCAAAAGATGTTAAATTTATGATTTTTCAATTAGATTTAGAATATATATATTGTAATTGTATTTCATTTTGGAAATTTAACAAGTCTTAAATAATATGTTCTTCAATATTTTTCAATATTTTTATAATATTTTAATTACTAAAATAAGATATATAAGAGATATTTGATAATTAAATAATCTAACAAAATTTTGTTATGTTTGATTTAATGTGTAATAAATTGTTTTAGCTTTACAAATAATTCTTAGCCTATGAAATTATCTATTGCCTATCCAAAAATGTTTATTAAATGTCATCTGGAGAACGATATCATCTCTTCTATCGTGTTATTTGATTTAATGCAATTGTACGTGATAACCTTTGCTATCTGATAGTTTATTGAATTGAAAACCATCATTAACATACAATATATTTTAGTTCTTAGGAAAAAAATCTTATTAGCGCAGCTCCTTTGAGGCTAAATATGTGTGACTCACATGTCTTCTTATGCTTTATTATACTGAAATAAAATACAAAATGTGTAAAATCTTTAAAAGATGATAGGTTTTTTTTCCAACGATAATCGATTGTCAGTAGACCCTCTATCTTTTTTATTTCTATATTTCGATTAGAAACTTTATTCTCTTTTTGTTTTTAACTGAAGCTCTTTGCTTTAGTTTTCTTGTTACTATTTGCTTGATAGTTATTTTTCTTGGTTTGTCATTTTAATAATTGATTATTCTTGATAATTAGAACTTAATCAGTTCATGCTGTTTTGTTGGTTATGTAACAGTTGTACAGAAACAGAGCTGTGAGTCTGACGTGGTGCCGGGCTAGCCATTAGGGCACACTGAATTTTGAAACTTAAGGCGAGGCTGACACATCCATATTGCATTCAGCCAGATTATCAGATCAGGCTAAATCAAAGTTAGTGGCTGGGGAGCAGTTTAATACTAATTTTTCCAGTAGACAACTGGAAGCATGAGATGGCGCCACAAGTTAATCAAGTCATCCATTAACTCCATCATTGATAATATGGGTGTGTATGTGATTTTTTTCCTCTCAACCACGTCCACAGCTACATCTTGTTACGAAATATGATAGTCGAATGCAAATATCCTATCCTGCTGTTATCACGCTGTCCTATTCTCCACAATTTTGGCTTCTCTACATTTCCTTTGAGCTCTTTCTTGTTTGTCTTACCATATGTTGTTTTTTTCATCATGGTTGATTTTTTTTCGATCATGCGAAACATTACTGATATTATCACAAAATTGTTTTTAATTCAAGTCTTTAATGTATGAAAAATATTTTTGATGGTTGTTTCTTGTTTTTTTTAATTTTCTATTTTCTAGGTAAACTTTTTACTCCATCATCTTGATGAAAATAAATTGAATAAATAATTGACTCTGATGTAATAAGTTAGTGGAGAGTTAGAAATATAATGAGACTGAAAAATCAGAAACATCTATTGGCTTGCAGACTAGACCGGGTCAAACCCAACAAAAAGTGACCTATTAGTAGCTGTATTAGGAAATCAAAAACATCATCCATGATATATATGATGTAACTGTTTTCTGCACAAAAATCACAAAGTGCATTATTCAGAATATTCAAAAACGTATTCCAATGATGTAAATTTTAAGAAAAGTTCTGAAGTGTTCTAAAACCTTCTAAGATTTGTTATTGATGCAATTCAGTGCTTTTCATTCTAGTTACTAAGATTTGTAAAGAGAAGGAAACAACAAAATTTTGTTTGAAAACTTACAATCACTATTTTGTTCGGAAATATATGAGAGTTTTACAATAATATTTACGAAATACATAAAAGTTGAGATGAGTACATATTTACAACATTAGTAAGATCCATCGTCGTGTTTATCTTGTAAAAAATATTTACATCTGGTCTTTATTTATTAAAATCGGTAGTTAAGACATATCGAGTAAAGTGAATTATACATATCTATATATACATATGGTGTTAATTGTTATGGAATTGTTTTCCTTTTTTCGCAATTTTTCTATGATTTTCATCCTATACCTTATCATCAAATTGAAGGAACTAGACTGAGGGCAGATACCTGTCTAAGGACAATTGCTGACTATTCAGAACTATAATTCTCTTTTCATACAGTTAAAATATAATATATACTATCAATAGATAAATCCGGTGTTTGTAACATGTTCAACAAGTTTCAGTAGTCGATCATAATCGATCTACCAATTTTCTAATTTATATCTAACAGTCTATACATAAAATAGTACTCTTTATCCTTTGTATGATATTGCGTGTCTCGTTAGGCAAAATGCACTGCGTGTACATATATATAGATATAAACACGTCAATAGTGCAAAAATCCCTCGTTTTTATTCTTATTCGCATAACGAACTAAAATCGATAAAATATTTTCCGGCAGGCAACAAAATATATGATGAATCAGACCTTATCAAGGTAAAAATTTCTTTCGCTTGTTGTTTACAATCTGTACAATTATGCATAGATATTTGAAACAACACATGATTTCAATTTCTTATAGAAATATTTATTTGTTCACAGATGTACTCTCTATATGAACAATAACAATTCATTCGAGACAAACAATATAGAACATTTTTCATTGCATAAAAACTCAAGTGAAAGTAGATTTCTCTTTTCAGTAATTATTTTCTGAAATAAGAGATGAAAAAGAAAAACATAGACAAAGCATAGACGATATCACGACATATAAATACAAAATATGATTGTAGACAAAAGAAAACATCTTACGAGAGTGCAATTATGATAATAATGAAAAAAGCAATGAAATCTCCTCAGAATTATCTGACATATTATTTTTAATAAAAACTGTTCGATACATGTATGTATATATGTTCATTTCTATATATGTTAATAAGTCACTCTCATATTTGAAAATTTTACATTGATTGAGGTGATAAATGATTAAGGTCTTTTGATGATAAAGTTGTTCCACTTGTTGGCCGTCGAAATTGATCTGCAGTAGTATTTAAATGTCCTCTGCTTATAGCATTTTTAACAGCATCAGCTAATGATGAAAATGATGCAACTGTTTGAATTGGTTTATTTTGTGTTTTATTAGATATATCAGAATCAGTTGATGATTTTGATGTTGAAGTAAATAAAGCCGATGCTGAAGAAGTTTTTCCTTGATCAGATAAATGCTTCATATGAGCCAATGGTGTCCAACGTTTTGGTATTTCAATTGATGAATTATATACTAAACCAAAAAAAAGTACATGCTATTAATTGAATCAATTAAAATAAATAACAATTTACCATCAAAATCATCAGAAAACATTGAATCATGTTTATGACCTTGGTTATTTAAATGAACACTTAAAAGGAAGAAATAAATAAGGATTTTTTTTTTTTCAAAAAAATTAATTCTTACCGATAGAAATCAAATTTTCCTGGTTCATTAGGACTTAATGGAAAATCAAAATCTGTTTCATTAGATTGTGTAGGTGTCTTTATTGGTTGTGATTGACTGGAACTTCTGGATGCCATTCTTCCAAAATTATTTGTTTATCAAGAAAAAAAATCGGTAAATAAAGATATTTGTTTTATATAAAATGTACTCAAACGTCAACGTGTAAAAAATTCTTATATCTTGATTTTTTTTTCTGCCTCTTACTAAACATCCGTAGTGGTATTATGAGTAGACGACTTGCGGAGGAAGAACGACTAGCGATTTTTTTTTTTTCTTCTTTTTTCTTTCGATTCTTCTCACAATATGCTTGCATACAAACATTGCTTCTCTCCTAAACATTTTTTTCTGTTCTTTCAGACCAACATCACTGTTCTTTTTTTTGCTATGACTGCTCCGCATATAAAAAAGCTAAACTAACTAGAAATCAGACATCATATTTGAAGCGGTAACTATTGATAGAAAAAAGAAAAATAAGGATAAAAATCAATTAAAATGAATAAGAAGAAAGTACTTCAAAATATAAGAAGAATAACTATACCATTTTTTATATCGAAACAAAAAAAAATGAAATAAAATCGAATTGCTCATGAATAATTTATTCATAAGCAAAAGAAAAAAAGAAACTGACGACATGATGACATACATATATACTTTACATTATAACTAACGATATTCTGACGTACATATAATAAACATATCTTTCGCTCTTCGGTCACGAGAAGCAAACTTATACGATTGAACAGCTTGGTTGATATAAAATGACGAAGAAAAAAAAATTATAATAGAACAAATATATTTTCTGGCAAATATTTAAAAAACACAGCTGTTGGAGATGTTTGCTTTTCTTGAGGCATTTCCTTTGTTTCTTTCTTTTTTCAAAAATATCTACTTTATCAAAACAATGTATTTTTTTAAATAAATAAAACAAAAAACAAAAAAAGCTTTATTTAATAAAGTAGAGGCGTAAAATCAAACAACAACAACATATCGAATCATGAACATATAACATTTGTAAATGAATAGAAAAGTAAAAACCAAGAATGCTATAAATCAAAAAAAGAATTTCAGGTTGAATAATACCAATGATTTTTTTCTTTTGTTTTCGAATACAATATATGATAAAACATTATGGACTTCTAAGGACACATATCTTTGGATTGGATTTTAATCATTCGCATGTTTTACCGTTTCTTGTTTTGTCGAAATGACGATATATTTTTTATTTTTGGTTGTATTTAATAAAATATAAAATGAAATATTAATTAGTCCGTATGAATATTTTGCTGTGAATGAACCATTTGCGCTTGCAATATCAAACATAAGATGCTGATCTGAAGTAAAAAAAAAGGTAAGTATCATATACAAAGTCCATATTTGTTGTTATCTATTTTTTTTGGCAGACATTCTTGTAGACAAATCTAAGTACATTCAGGGCACAGAAAGAAAGAATAATAAGAGAATCGACAACATATCTATGTCATTATTGAATATAGTATCGCATAGGAATAAATAACGATATATAACCTCGAGTTACTTGGTAGATCAATCGTTGATCAGTGAATTATTCGATTGGATTGATATAAACCAATTTGAAACATATGTCAAACTTGAAAAAAAAAATTATTTTTACTTTTTTTTTCGAATATTTTCAATTAAAATCATTTTTTTTTGAAGTAATAAGAAAAACAATAATTTTTATGATTTGAACAGCGCTAAATTCGCTAATGACTGAATTGTACGATAAGAAACAATTCTAATTCGTTCATCCTAAACAGAATGACTCATTGTTAAATTTTCTAGCATGTTTCGACCGACAACAACCAAATGAAAAAAGAATGTTCATAATAGTAATGCATATATATGGCGTAGAGAAAAAACGTGAGGTAAAGAAGTGCAATGATATTTTTGAGAGCTGTGAAAATACATGTACAATTCTTTTAAAAGTGGAACAGTTTGAACTTTCTTTTTTCGTTGTGTGATCTTTTTTCTTTTCAATGAAAAGCATCAATGTTGTCCGGACAAAAAAAGCTAAACATTTTTTTGATGTGAAGGTGTGCATCGTCCTGCGCTTCTGATATTCACATTCCTGAAATAATACATTTATTTTTATTAAAAATTATATTTTTTCTCAGGTTGTGCATCCTTCACCAAGAGAATCTTCTTTCAATATAATGCATTTCTATCATGGAATTTAGCTAAGGTTTCTTTTTCGATTATGTAAGATAGAATTGAAAAAGTTCTATTATTTGAATCCTTGTATAGTTTTATTTATCTTGATAATAAATGTAGAAATGAAAGCTATAATGATATATATATATATGAAATCAATTTTTCAATGCCATTTAATCTCAAGAGTTTATTTTTTATTCCATCAAGGATGTCCCAAAATAACCGATGATGAATTGTCAATGATATTTTAAATACATTTTCCTGATATAGTAAAGCTGAACTTTTTTAATGAGATATATATTTAAACATGACCGAAGGATTTAGATTTGTTTTTGATGTGGAGCGCTTCTGTGGGGATGAAGGAAGATGGTGATCATGATCATAAAATGTATTTTGAAGCTCATTAGAGGTAGTATCAACTATCTTTATTTTTGTCAAGTTGCAGCTCATTAGTTATCAGTAATGAAAATATATTTGAGAAAGATTGAACAACGTAAATTTTTTGTATGTTCAATTGATGATATCTTTATTTTTTAATTAATAAGAATTATAATTTGCTGATGAAGATAATAAAAGAAAAGTACATACTTGCGCAGAAACAAAATTTTAATAAAACTCAACACACATAAATATGTTCTCTAGAATTACTTATCAATGAAGAGATATTGTTTTCTAATTATATCAGTATTGTTTATGTATCTTATCACTAATTATAGTTAAAGAGCTGAAATTAAAGACCATGTTTAAATCTATACGACAATTTATCCTTGGTTACTATAGGATATCCTGTATTATTAACTTTTATTCACAATAATTAAAAGGTTATTTTATTGAAGAAAAAAAAAAATACTGAATATCTTTATTATATTTTGCATGAATAAAACGATCTTTTTCGAATAATTAATAAAGGATTATTCATAGCTTACACTTATAAAAAAACATCATAGTAAAACTATTTTGAAATTCTAATATGGTATTCAATAACAAGCTGTCATCTTACATAAATAATGAAAAAAAAAAAAAATCTTTTTTTTCTTCATAGCTAAATATAACGGCACGCCTTATTATTTCTTTTTTGAATAATCTTCCAGATTGTTTTGGTTTGGTCTTATAACAAATATTTATTTATTTATTGAATATGTGCTAAAAATTACAGCAAGACGTAATCAGATGTGATAGCAAGCTAAGTGTTACAACAAAGCTCGATAACATTCATTTAAGAATACATTAGACATTTTTATAATTTTCTAATTGAAGTTTTTTTGCCGAAATTTTTAGCGCTTATTCACTAACTAAATAAATATTTGTAACAAGATCAAACCATAGAGTTATTAAAAAAAAAATAATTCGATTTGTCGTTATATTTAGCTATGCAAGAAATATGTTCTTTCATTATTTATGTAAGATGACAACTCTCTACTGAATATTATTATAGAAATTTCAAAACAGTTTTATCACGATGTATTTTGAACTATGAACAATCTATTATTAAGCATTCAAAAAAAAAAGATCATCTAAAATATGCCGAAAGATATTCAGTTTTTTTCTCTGTTAAAATAACATTTTGACTATTCTGTTTTTTCGTTCTTTTGAAGAATTTTATCGAATCTACTTCAAAAGAAAAACAAAATGCCATAAAATAATTTTGATAATAGGTAGAATAATGTTTTTCGAATAGTATTTAATCTGATGCTTTGCTACTAAAAATTAAGTGTTTTCTTGCAACTCGATAAAAGCCAATGAATATTTCCCTTTTTTTTTAATTTGAAAACTATTTTAATTTAGTTGATTAATGAAAGTGCAACGTATGATTTTGAAAGAGATGGTTTATTTTTGTAAAATATTTAAAATAAGTTTTATCAATTAAGATAAATAACTTCTACGATTATTATCGGTTTTGTTTTTGAAAAATAAATGTGTCATTATTCAAGTAGTTCTATGACAGAACGAATTTTGTTTTTATTGATCAAGCCATTCAATTCATAAAAAAATAACATAGGACAAGCGTTGAGTTAATTTTGAGAATGTACTTTGACCTATTTTTCATCGTTATGAAGTATTTATTTATTGTATTCGTCGGCAGTGAGATAGTGCAGTTCCTTTTTTTTTTCTTCATTTCTCTACGTGTTTTATCAATAAACAACAATTTGAAAAATGACTTCAATCATTAATCATTTCAAATGCTGAAATATATCGAATTCAAGATGAAAAACTAATAAGAATCTTGCTTTTGATTTTCTTTTGTAAATCTTTTATCATTGTTGATTATGTTTCGATTTAAATTAATTGTTTCTTATCCCTATAAATAACTTATCAAAACTCAAATAATTCAATACAGCTGTCGTATCCTATTTCAACGAAATTAAACGTTTTTTTTTAAACTGTTTACTTCTTGTATGCAATACACAAACGTCTGAAACTATCTTTCGGTAACAGTGTTCGATAAGGAATCATTTTCTATTTGTTAGTAATAGACAAGAATCTGAAGAGTATACGAATCTAGTAAAATGAAAATAATTTTATAAGTGAAACATTCATTTAATATAAATTCTCTAAGTCAAATAAAATAGTTCATTTTCTAAACATTGAAACAATGAAGAAATGATTCACTGTTAGTTTTATGATTGATAAAAATTATTTGAAACAGAAAAAACATTGAGTTTGATTGATACAAAATGAAAAAACAAAATCTATGAGTCAATTTGATCATATAGAGGATAATTATAGTCTAGAGGTATACAAGATTTTAAAGAAATAATCCAGTATTTTCATAAGTAGTCAACGCGAAGAAAAAACACGAAATACTCAGTGACATCGGTTGTCTATCAAATATGATCGAACTCTCTAATATTAATCATTTTGATAAACAACTTTATTTGATGCTATATGATAAGGAAAGTGATAGATG